AATGAATCTTTCTATGAGGCGCTAGACCGATTCAAGGAGTACATTAGGGACTGCCCTAATCATGGTTTCAATGAGGGAAACCTATGGAACATCTTCTATCGTGGCATAGACCACAAGTACAAGCTTTCATTGGACACTGCAAGCAATGGAAACTTCATGACCAAGACTGTTGATGAAGCTAAGGTTCTTATTGAGAATCTTGCAGCTAGTGATTGTAACAACTGTCCTGATTATGACCGCTCAAGCCGCACCACTACTAGCTCCCCTGATTCTTTTCAAATGACTGAACTCAAGAACATGATGGCTCAAGTTCTTAAGGGACAGCTCAAGCATATCAATGCAATAGAAGGGATGAGTGATGCTAATGAAGACCCATCAAGAGAATGCATGGGAGATTTCTCTAATGAAGCCAATGAAGAAGATGTGAACTACATTGGAAACTATGGGAACAAGGGATACAATCCAAGCTATCGCCCAAACCCCAACATGTCTTATAGAAACCCCAATGTGGAGAATCCTCAAGACCAAGTGTATCCTCCAAGGTATCCACAACAACAAAGACCTCCTTACCAATCTCAAGGAAGTCAATTTCAGCCAAGGCAAGGATATGAGCAGAGATCATCATATCCGCCCAAGGAGCCATATGCTTCTTCACCAAATCAAGCTCCTCCAAACCAACAAGGTGGGAGATTTGAAGGAATCCTCCAACAGATCATGGATGGCCAGAAGAGAAACACAAAGAGATGTATGAGAAGATGGACACTTTGTTCAGCAATCTCAACACCAAGTATGATGCTGTTGCCACTCATGTGAAGAAACTAGAGACTCAAGTCACTCAAACTATGGAAGCTGTTAAGAGACAGGAAGCTGAATCCAAGAAGTCCTTTTGCAACTCAGCCGCCATAGAAGAAAGATTTGAAGACCAAGTTCCAGAATGGATGCTTTCAAAACCTACTGTTGATTGCATGATTTGGCCTGAAGAGAATTACCCAGAGAGAGAGTCCAATCGAGCTAGAAAGAGAAGACTCTTCCCAAAGATTATCCCCAAGACAGATAACTCAGGAAAGTTTGTTGTGCCTTGTATCATCAAAGGTAACATTCTTGAGCAATCTTTGTGTGACACAGGAGCCAATGTGAACATCATGTCTAAGAGGATAGCTGACAAGATAGGCCTCACCAAGATAGAGCCATCATCCATCTCCATCAACTATGCTGATTCATTCTCACAAACCCCTATGGCTTTGTGCCTAATGTGATGGTGCAGATTGGAAATTGCTCTATCCCTACTGATTTCCAGATTGTGGAAATGAGAGAGAGTAGCCATAGACCTCTCATATTTGGAACCCCTTTCCTGTCTACTGTGGGTGCCATATTTGATTTCCCCAATCAAAGAATCTCTTTCAACAAGGTGAACAAGGGTATGTTCTTCCCTATGTGTTCAACAAAGAACTCTTTTGTTGACATGGTCCAAGAGGAGAAAGTTACTTTGAAGCCACCCCAAGAAGGAGAAACTGAAGAAACAATCAAGGAAGATCCCATTCCTAAGCCCAAGCAGCTTGCCAAACAAGCAAGGAGTAAGACTAAGGCCCCTACACCAAAACCGCCCAAGGGATCAACCAAGATTGAAGATGAGGCCAAGCCAAGAAGAAGGTTAGAAAGCCTAGGTCTGGCCGCAACATGAAGCTTCTATTCCCAAAGGAGCTTATTGATGAGAATCTAGAAGGATTCAAGGAGAAAGTGACAAGAACTCTAAAGCTTTTTCCTAAGGCAGTAGTGCCAAGGGACATTCATGGAGAGATTGTCTATCCAGCTGTGAATCACCCACCAGATACTCATTGCAAGGAGAAAAGACTTGGAGGATCAAGATGCCTCTTGTCTCCATCTTCTCCTGAGCGCCAAGCCTTACAGTCAAGCTAAAGACTTAAAACAAGCGCTGCATGGGAGGCAACCCATGAGGTACTTTTACTTTTCTTTCTTTAAATTTCTTAGTTTTTGTTTTGCTTTTGTGTTTTCTTTGTTTTAAGATAGGATAGAAGGAGAAAAAGGTGTGAAAACACAATCCGCGCCAAACATTGGCCGCGGACGCGCAAAAATGATTTTGGCCGAGCAATTTCCAACCGGCCGACCGTCGGTCGAGCCGGGAAGGAACGGCTTATGCTCGGCCGGATTCTATCGCGCGACAGAAACCGTTCCCGCGGACGCACGGGAGAGAAGGAACGGCCGCGATCGGCCGGATTTATGTATCGGAACGGACCGACCGTGCCGGTCGATCACACTCCTCAGCACATTGTTGCACTAATCTTGTTCGGCAACAACCTCACTAGTTTCACAAGAGCCTCAAACTGGCTTGAATCTTCATAAATTAGGATCAGACCGGACGATTCGACTGATTGAACTGTAAATCGGTGGATTTCATGAAAATACAGAATTGTAGTTAGATAAAAAAAAACCTCTACACCTTGGTTTTTATTTTTATTTAGTGATGTTTGGTTTTCTAGCTAAAAAACTCTAAAAAACATATTGTCATTTAACTGATGAGTTATAACATGAAATTATTGAAAATTATAAGAAGAATGAAGAATCAAACTCTAAAAAAAATTGATTTTTATTCATTTTTAAGTACTTCTACAAGCTAAAAGTGGAAGAAAAAACATATTATTATGCACAAAACACTCAGAAATGATTCATTAATGGGCCAGAATAAGCAAGCCAATAATTACATTTGGCCCATTGTTTCACTTGTCTCTCCCGCCAAATTGGTTTTTCTTTCCCGCCGCTATTTTTCCAAATGCCCACCCAAATTATTTGTTCTTCTCCGTTAAGCTGTCTCTTTGGTCAAATTATCGCCTTGGAAATCGTAAGTTCTCTGTTTCTCTCCCGTTCGATTTATGAAATTTCAATGTTTCAATCTGAAGTTGACGTTTTTTTTCTGTTTTGGGTATCGGTATAGATTCAGTTCGATTGTGATGTTGCTGTGAATCTCTACTTGAAACCCAGATAGTAAAATAGCCCTTTGTCTTGTGCGCGAGGAAGATGACGAGAGAGGAGCCTGAAACCAGAGGAGAAGATATGATGATCGATGCACCAAAATTCACAAACCCAAAACCTAGAATCGAAAATCCAGACGAATTCAATGTCCATTACCTCCGAATTTACTATGGCAAGTTTCATTTTTATCACATTTGGTTCTTCGCAAAATCATATCTTACTGTGTTCTCTCGTTCAAAGTAATATGCTAATTCATAAGATATTTGCAGGAAAGCTCTTTCCTTACACTGATATCCACAAATGGCTTTCGTACGGACACGGTACTTGTTTCTCTGCTTGTGTCTCTCTTTCACACACACACACACACACACACATGAGAGAGCTATAGACCATTGATGCATCATGAATATGTATTGTAACCTGTAGATGGGAAACATCCTGGTTGCGATGAATTCTACTTTGGTAGAAGAGAGTTCTCGTTTACACTTGAGAACGATGTTTATTTGCGCTATAAGTCCTTCAAGAATGCTTCTGCTATGGAAGACGCTATCAAAGTGAATTTCCCATACAAGATTGATATTGGCGCTGTGTATAGCGTTGATGTAAGCCATCTCGAGAATATCCCATTTTGTTACAAGCTTCATCTTTATATGTGCTTGTCAAAATGATTATGATTAGAAACTTTTTTTTGAATGTTTCATATTTGCAGCCAGATAAGAGACATGCTTATGCACAAAGTGGTACCAATGTGTTTACTCCAGTGGAGAGGGAGTTGGTCTTTGATATTGTGAGTTTTATCATCTTTTCTAGATACAAACCATTGGTTTTGATGCTTCTTCTTCTTCTTCTTCTTCTTCTTCTTCTTCTTCTTCTTCTTATGTGTTTTTTGTATGGTTTCTTTACTTGAATTTCAATATATTGTTTCTCTCAGGATATAACAGATTATGACGATGTCAGATACTGTTGCTCAGGAGCTGATGTTTGCTCCAAATGTTGGCCTTTAATGACAGTTGCTATCAAAGTCATTGATACTTCCTTAAGAGGTACCGCAAAGATACCTCTGATTTTGGGAATTAGATTCAGTGTGTCAATACTGTAGAACAATAGCCTATGTAATGTGAAGAACTTATTGTAGTTTACTGTTTGCCAATGTGCAAGACTGTTTGGTCTTATTATAGGAAGAACGTATAGTTACTCATTTTGGTTTTCCCAATTTGCAGAGGATTTTGGTTTCAAACACATCCTCTGGGTCTTCAGTGGACGTCGCGGAGTTCACTGTTGGGTTTGTGATGTTAAAGCTCGAAGGTGAAAACAATTACTGAACTCATTTCTAACACCGTTTGCTCGTTTCTCTTGTTGTATGAATCACATTTTCTGCATTTTCTATCTTGTGCGTTATGAAATTAAACTCTTTTGTGATCAAATCCTGCAGGTTGACTAATGAACAAAGATCAGCAGTTGCTGAATACTTCCGTGTTTATAAGGGAAATGAAAACAATGCAAGAAAAGTTGCTCTTATGGGTCATTCTCTTCATCCGTTCCTTGCGTATGAGTTTCTCCATTCACTTTTTGCCTTTCTTTCTGATTCGATGAAATTCTCTATTTTCTGCTACTAATGTTCATCTTTGGCTTTTCAGGAGGTCGTATGTGGATTTTCTAAAGGATTTTTTTGAGGGCGAGCTACAAGCAAATCAAAGTATATTCTCAAGCAAAGAAAAGTATGAGAAGATACTTGAGATGATTTCAGATGAAGGTATGGCAAGTGTGATGATGTATATGAGAAGGTACTAACCTTAGTTTGGTCACTTACGATGATCTTACATTTTCACAACAGATATTCAGTTAGAGCTCAGAGAAAAGTGGGAGAATGCTGCTAGATCATCCCTATCAGAAGAAGCCACTAGCCTTGCAAGGTGGGAGCAGCTTAAAAACACGCTCTACTCCAAGAAACAGAAGGTGTGTAGTAATGTTAAAGAGTTGTGAAAAGCTTATTTGTGTTTCACTCAGCTCTTAGCTTGATGAACTTGAATCCTAGAGATTTGCTCATCTTTTAATCTCTTATCCAATGTTTTTAGGCTCCATCACTGCGGATGTGCGTAGAAGAAATTGTCTTCACCTTTACGTATCCTCGAATTGATTTGGAGGTTTGTTTATAATCTTGTATGCTACAGTTTTGGGAGACATTACTTGACAAGTTAAGTGACTGTTTAGTTGTATGGTTCCTTGGTCAATTACAGGTCTCAAAACAAATGAACCATCTGCTTAAGGCACCCTTCTGTGTCCATCCAAAAACAGGTATTTTTTTGCTGATTTTCGAGTATATTACACCAGTTGTATAAGAATCATGTTCACAATCATGTCAACATATGTAATGTGAGCTCAAATTCTTATGAAATGTCTTGTGGTTTTCAGGTCGTGTATGTGTGCCTATCGACCCTAAGAAGTGCGATGAGTTTGATCCATTGGCAGTTCCAACACTTTCACAGGTAAAAACAATAGACAATATGATACATTCGAGTGTGGATGGATCATCACAAAGATATTGTTCCTTGAGCTTATAGTACTGTATTTCCTTTTTCCCAACGATTTTCTCAGCTTATAGAAGAGATTAACTCAGGAGGCCTTAAAATGGATGTGGATGATGATGATGGTACGTTCTTGAATACTCTAATCAATATTCAAATGTTTTCAGGATTATACTTTTCCTAGCATAACTAATTCTTGAGTTATTTTTGATACCTGCAGAGTCAGAGAGAAGTTTACTTGGGAAATCAGTCAGTTTCTTCAGATCCTCCTTCCTTGAACCTCTACTAAAGTCCTGCAAGGTAAATAAATCTCTCGCTGTTCTCCAAGGTTAAGAATCAATGCATAATCATAGTAGAAATATATGTTGGAAGAGGGATGATATTATGTTGATGAAATGTGTGCAGGAAGACATAGAGAGTTCACACAAAAGTAACATTGACAAGTCTAAGGATTCATTCAGCTGGTGACTCTAAGGTCTCGGAGTTTGTTCAGTTTGTAATCTTTAGTTTCGATTTCAGTTTGTAATGTTACGGTATTCGCTGAATTTTATAATCTAAAGTTTTTATATCTTGTTGTTATGTTTGCTAAAAATGTACCCCAAAAGTTACAATATCTACAACTAAAAGATTAACGCTAATCGTCCACACTCATCATACTTAAATATAACACAAGAAGCCAGCTTTCCAAGTCAATATGCATTTCTGATTAGCTTCTCTTAGGTTTTTGTGGGTTTCGATTTTGTTATATTAGCTAGTGGTGTCCGTCTAGGGTTTTTTCATCATGGCATCGTCTCCTAGAGAAACCTGGGCGGCCGACTTGGAGAAAATCAAGCGAAAATATCGCGAATTTTGTGATCGCGAAGCTGCTCAAGCTAATCGTAGAGCTTTGTTAGCCCTTCTTTTTGGAAAACCTAAGGAAGATGGATATGGCCCTGCAGGCTTGGTGACGCGGACGCCAAAAGAAAGAAGATGTCCAGTGGAGAAGATGCTTCATGATGGTGTCAGGAGGCGGCGGAGAAACCAAAATCTTAGACTAATGAGTAAATGACTAATCAAGTCTTTGTTTAATTTTCTTGCATAATAAGAAGATCATACGAGTCTTCTCTATTCTAATAGGAACATGATCCTTGCTGCTCTAAGTTGTTTCCGGAACTACAAAAATAATAATAATGAAGTCTTTGCCTTTGGGACGTTTTTTCCCTTTATATCTTGTGCGTTATGAAATCAAATCCTGCAAAGCTCATCAGTTGCTGGATACTTCCGGGTGCTGTTTCTCAGTAGTGCTATATTGTGGTTTATCTGTTGGTCTCTTCTGGTTATGCAATTGTTTGTTTATGTGACACAGAGGAATGAAAACAATGCAAGAAAAGTTGCTCTTATGTGTCATTCTCTTCATGAGTTTCTCCCTCACTTTTGCCTCACATTACAACGTAAATCTGGTTTGTTTATGAACAGACCGGAGAATCTCTGCACTGTCCAGAAGCTATTGCTTTGCAAAAGAGACAAGTATTGTCCTCGAACAAGAGGTTCATGAACCAACCAACACAAACAGAAGAAACTATACCGATCATTTCTGATTTAGTAAAAGAAGTAAGAGAGCAAAATGGATGGATGGATGGAAGAGAGCTTCTTTTTTTTTTTTTTTTTTGGAAGAGAGCTTCTTGCTGTATGAATCACTTTCTTGCTCATACTTGCGTGTTTCTCAAGAGCTAGATTGTGGTTTATTTGTTTCTGTTACATAGAGTATGTGGAAGTCTGATTGATATGTAAATTGCAAAGTTAGAGAGGTAGTGTTTTAAAAATTTGGGCCCATTGGTAAAGAAGATGTTTTTTGGCCCATTTTTTAATTTGCAGATTGTATAAAATATATAGGTGTTACAGTTGATGCCTGAATTGTGCTCTCCGTCTAGGGTTTTCTGAATTTTCATCGTCATGGCATCGTCTCCTAGGGAATCCAAGTACAAGAATGAGGTTGAAGCACTCAGGCGAAAGTATATCGAAATTTATGTTCGCCAACTTGCTCAAGGTAGGCGTAAAGCTTATCTAGACCTTCTTTTTGGAAGACCTAATGAAGATGGATATTTCCCATGCTTGGTGACGCCAAGCGATCTCAAACCGTCCGGCTTGGTGAGATCTCAAACTGTCGGAAGAAAGAAGAGGTTTTTGAAGCCAGTGGAGACCCCACGCTTGTTGACGCCAAGCGATTTTTTGGAAGCCAGAGGAGTCCCCACGCTTGATGATGCTGAGGAGGCCGCGGAGAAACCAAAATCTTAGACTAGTGAATAATCAAGTCTTTTGCTTTATTAATTTAATAATTTTCCTGCATAACAAATAAGATCATAGGAGTCCTCTCTTTTCAGATAGGAACATGATTTTACCTTTCATCAAGACAGTGCGGATAAGAAACACGGATACATGTCTTTTGTTTCCATGAATGATTATGACCATGTTAGATGCTGTTTGCATGAATTTGCATGAATCTCAACATAAAGACCCATTGTATCTTAGCTTTCTCATTAAAACCACACACTTTTGAATGTTACAAAACAAACCCAAGTATACTTTTTTTTTACTTAGTTTGAACTTTGAACCCCACAATAAGATTAGTATTTTTGAGCGACAATACAATTAGTTTTATACTGTAAAATAGTGCTACCACACAAATCTAGTAACTATAGATATAACTTAATGGATTCGGAGATCAAAGGTTGGGATCTCGGAAGTGAAACCAAGTGAGAGGTAATAGAGAAGCCTCGGGAATATGTTTCTGTAAGGATCACTTTCTCTCTTCACCTTCAGGTAAGCTATACATCTTTCTACTTCTGACTTGACCTGCAAGTAAACCTCATGAGCTCTCTCTTTATCGTTTAGCTCTTTCTCTCTACCTTTGGTTTCTATTGGTTTCCCAAAATATATGTAGAACCGTCCCGGAATCTTTGGTATTATTCCAGGCACATGCAAATCTTGGTTTCCTACTTCGCCTTCTTCACCGTTCCTAAACCATATTATCATCACAAACCATATTTCAAAAGCAGAACAAATGTTGTATTCTAGTGTCGACAAGAGGTTCAATTTAAAATACCTCAGCTTAACTGTGTCCTGTGTTATCTCTTCTATGAGGTTCTTGAGAAAAGGGATCTTCATTTGATCATTGTAATCCAAAACCATCTGAGAAATAATAACCATTCCATTCATCAAATTACTTTACTCGAAAACCGATTGAAGCAAAAGTTTGCAGATACTGAAACTAAATCGAAGAGGTTTGGCTTTACTTGACAGAGATTATCTTCTCCAACAACGCCAAAAGGAACGATCTTTGCTCCGAATTTAGAGGCAAACCTTACAAACTCTGAATGTTCTGGCCAAAACAACTTGTATTCTTCACCCTGCAGAGAAATGTGTGTTTTTAACGTTAAAAGTAAAGCCTCACAAATTAACAATATGGAAAATATACAATCATTTAGTTACCTTTCTGTGCAAGGCTTCACGAGCACCTCCTGGATACAAAAGCACATGAGCCTTTGAACGAAGCAGATTGTAGAAATTCATATTCGAGACAGGAACTGCGCCTATCGTCCTAAAAGAGTCCAACATCTGCATATCAGGGAGCTTTGAGCCTCTTTTCTTGGTAAAGATCAATGGATGTGCCAGTCCACGCAACGGAATGTTCCTTTCTTTCAAGAATTGAACTACTAGTGGACGCAGTTCGATACCAAACAACATGTGATTGCCAACGTACAGAACAGGTCCCTCTGAAGGTATCCCTGCAAGTGATCTTACTACTCTACCGTTGTCTAGAGTTGAGAGAAATACCGGAGAAGTAGCAGCGGTTAGCAATCTGTAACAGAAGCAGATGCAGTTATAGTATTCTATTTCTACTAAGCTCTGATGGATGATATAGTGAGTCAAGTAACTGACTTACCTTTGTGATTCTTCAAACTCTTTGAGCTCGAATGGAGTAGGCAGAATGTAATCCGAAATGCAATCAAGTTTCTTTCCACGGCGATAAAAGTAGGCAAACTTTATGATTGTCGCCAAATCTACCCCATCCTCCTAAATATAGATCAATAGAGAGTAACATAATCTTAAAGTTTTCTAATATGTACAAAGCAAATGACGAATCACTGACACCTTACCAAGAAGAGGAAATGTCCATTATTCTCAAAACTACGGACTTCGCTTTTCGGCAGTGCACTAGGGAGTTTTTCAATGTATTCTTTGTTCAGTAACCATTGATCACGCCCACTGCAATAGTAAAACTATAACTCAGCTTCCGGAAGTGAACTTCTTTCTACTTCTAATTCATGATGAAACAGAGAAGTTTATGAACCTCAGAAGTATCAGTGTTTGGGCTTTGACTGTGTACATGTGAGAGTTAGCAGACGCTGTAGCAGACTTAAGTAGTTGAAGCTTCCATAAAAGTGTGTCCCTGGGAAGGATCCTAAACAGAGTCTGTAAAATAACTTTGTTCGCATTACAAGACAACAAAAAAACATGCATATATCAATCATTTGTTCTCCGAAAGTAGATGAGTCTTACAGGCAAGCTTGCTGAAGTTGCAAAGAAGTCTCCTAAGAGCCCTCCACTCATCTGTGTGACATTAGTTTCATTCAGCATACTCTCCAACATTGCCCCAAACGGATAACCTATGGAATAAAAACACCGTTAGCCCTGACTTTGAAGCAATATATATACAACTATACAAGAAGGAGTTGAGAGTTAAAACTTGACCTTGTTTTAACCCAAAACTCTCTTCTATCAAGCTGGGAACTTTGTCAGGCAATATTTCAAGTAGACCCGATAGAGGTTGCAATATGAAGTTATTGAAACGTGTGACTGGCATCAAACATAGTCTACTATGAGCACAAGACATGATGCATACATTTTATGAGATTTTACACACAAAAATCCCAAAAAAGCTAGTAGTCTCCTTAAACCTGGATTAGCAAGAATCAAGACAAGATCGATGTCGGGGTTACCCGCTGCAACATCAAGAGCAAGACAGGCTCCAACCGATTCTCCAACTATATATATGGGTCTATTAGGGAAACGGTGGTACTCTGACCGTACTGTCCTCTCAATGAGATTCACAATGTCTGAAAATGATATAAAACAACACAGCAGAAAGAGGTTTCATGCACATTAGATTAGTTTACAAAACTCCAAACTCACAAAACGGTAATGAGACAACAGAGAAGCACCTGGAGCAGGGGTTCGATCAGTGACTGGAAAGTGAAGGCACCATATGTCAAACATCCTATGAAAACAAAAGACAATGAGATCATAAACAAAGAGTCGTTCTTGAAGTCAATTCTACGATTATTTAATTCTTGGTAAATTAAAAAAAGTCTAAGTTGGAATCAAACAGTTACTTACTCTCCAAGTCTCTTATGCTGGCGAATGAGCCCTAATCCAGTACCATCGATCCCTGAAAGTTTTTATTTCTGAGTCTTGTTAACTAAATTGGTAGAGTTACATTGTCCGAATCAGACAAAGAGCAATAGCAAAATCGTTTAAAATGACAATAATCACCAGGTATGTAGAGGAGAAGAGGAGATCCCGGAGCTCGCTTGCCACATTCCAACGGAGAGAACCACCGAGGCGGACCTCCATCTCTGCCGTCTGATCTCATGAAATCTTCAGCTTCCACCAGAAAATCAGTCAAACTCTTCCGCTCCTCTGGCTGTGCCGCCTCTGCATGCGAATACGGATTCACAGTCGCCGTCACTTTCCATCCGTGACGGAGACTTCTGGTGCTAGCTCCGAATTTTGGATCCGTAAGCCGATCATACGCGACGGAGGTCAATTGTTTGGTCGACTTACAGTATGAAAAATCGAGATTGTAAGCTCTTCTCGAAGGTGGGGAGAAGATGGGACAGATTCCATCGGTAATGCGAGCTGTGGTAATCTCCATTGACCAGAAAATTCCGAGATCGTTGGTTTTCTCGGTAGATCAAACTTCATCTTCATTCTTCAAGAGATCGAACACAACACTGTTTTCGCGGGTCCCCCTGTTTTCGCGTCTCTTTCTCTTGTTTTATCGATGTCGGTTTTGGGATCGACATTTCGGTTCGATTGTCGTCTATACCAAATTCAGTTCAGATAATTCACTTCAGTTTAGGAGGAAACGCGGTTTGATTGTTGTCGTTGAATTTGGTACGGTATAAGAGAGATTTATCTAATTTGAATTCAGATGGTTCGGTTTGATTCAAACCAACTCGTGTTAGTAAGATAAAAAAACTCGAACCATCATCGACAAATGTAGTGTTGCCGTAGACAAATGTAGCGTTGCGATCTTCGGATCTTAACTCACACTGTTCAATGTCTTAAGAGAGTGTCGGAGCATTTATTATGCAACCGAGTTGTCCCACTCTCTGACCAGACCACCCGAAATTTCGAGCTCATAGTTGATGCAAACGCTGTAAAAACGCATTAGTCACTTGTAAATATGATTTCGGGCGTGTTTGTTTCTAATTACGTTTACATTTGATGTTTACCAATAATATGATCATACATTCGTAATGTGTTCAAATTTGCATGAATTTCAACATAACAACGCGGACTAACACATTTGAATGGACTTGAACATCATCGGCTCTCCTTTGATTAGCTCCACAACATGTCGCATATAAATTAGTCTGACCAGACCCTTGTCTATGTCGATGTGGATTTGAGCTACAAGTTGGTGAAAAAGAGATAGCAACACAAGCACGGTCAGAGAAATTTCCGCCAGGGGTTTATCGATATGGTTGCAGATCCATGGTGCCAAAGACACTTGTTGTGCATTTGGGGCCAAAAAGAAGGCGCCCTCGAAATTGAATCTTGCAATCATCTTAGATGCACGATCAGGTACATAAGCAAGTGCAACCTTCTGATAATCAGTAATCTCATCTGAATCTTCTTCCCTGTTTACAACTTCTTCCATGCTTGCAAGAGTCATCTCACCTTTCGCATCATCCTCATCTGAACAATTCCACTGCTGTAAAAGAATTACTTAAACAGCCGTGAATTCTCTCCAAGCCGAATCAATCATGTTAATGTACAATATTTTCACAAACTATTGATTCCTCAAAAATTAAGACTAGAACAGTACAACTAGTTAATTTACTCATTAATCTTAAGACCGGTTTGTGAACATAGCAATAAAGCCGAATCAATCATGGTTTTTTTTATTAGTTTGAATAAAATTAGTCTTTTTGGAACGATGAGCTACCGTACAACTAGTTAATTTACTCATTTTGGAGATCAAAGGTTGGGATTTCGGAAGTGAAACCATGTGAGAGCTGATAGAGAAGCCTCGTGAATATGTTTCTGTAAGGATCACTTTCTCTCTTCACCTTCAGGTAAGCCATACATCTTTCTACTTCTGACTTGACCTCCAAGTAAACCTCATTAGCTCCCTCTTTATCGTTTAGCTCTTTCTCTCTACCTTTTGTTTCTATTGGTTTCCCAAAATAAACCTAAAACCGTCCCGGAACCTTTGGAATTATTCCAGGCACATGCAAATCTTGGTTTCCCACTTCGCCATCTTCACCGTTCCTAGACCATATTATCATCACCAGATTCAGAATCAGAGATCAAATCGTTGACAAAAGATTGAAAAACAAAGAAAACAGATTTGTGCCTACTGCCAAGTAAGTAGGGACAGGCTTCTAATGGGTTGTCAATGAAATGCATGATGTAAGATGTAACAGACTGTAGTAATCTAAGTGGACCTTTTGTGGATTGTTTGTTTGTGATGCAATCTTCAAGCTGCATGCAGGAACGTTCATCTTTGCAAGCCACAAGAACTATTCCATTGTTTTCACTCATGTCACCCTCAGAAAGCGTCTGCTTCTCTCTTTCCTCTTGCGTCTCTTCTAAAATCCTCTGTATTGATCATAAGGAACACCATCAGGTTTAGAGCGAGATCTCTTATGGCTACATCGTGAAAACATATGTGTCACTTCAGTGATAGAGTGTGGCGGAGGTCAAAAACAGAGAAAAAACTTGCTCCATAGCTGAGCCAATTTCCATCACCAACTCAACCATAACAGAGAAACGGCATTTGAAACTGAAACTCACTCAGTCACTCACTTACCTGCTTCTACAGAAGCATTTGACTTTCTCTTTTTTATATTCTTAACATGTTCTTTAGACTTGACATCACTTGCCTTCATGAGACGATACACTCGCTTCTTTGCAAAATCAAACATTTTATAGCTGGACTCTGCAAATGACCAAACAGATTGATAGCTCTCCAATACCCTGAGTGCATCCAAGAACTTGAGAAAACTCACAGCATCATACCTACAACACAAAACAATCAATCAACATATAACAACAAGTTGCTCTTAGAAACACCCAAACGCAAATGACTTTGCATAAGCACAATACCTAACAAGATAGTCAAGCAACTTCCTTAAAGTCTTCAAATGTAAGAAACTTTGATCTCTCCTTCTGCATTCTTCATTGTGATGATGCCGAATCTTTCTGCAGAAACATATCGGGTACATCCATGAGAGGGGTTTCTTGTGCCAGAAATTGGTCAGATCACCTACTTGCAAGAAATGTATGTTTTTGATTTATATCTTTAGTATCCTGCGTGGGAACATTCTTATGGAGGAAAGTTGAAGAAAATCAACAGCTTAGACTTGGGAAACAATCATCTAACAGGACCTATTCCTGCAGAGATTGGGAATTTGACAAGCATTGTGATAATGTAATAAAAGAGCTTCAAACTTTTGCAATCTATTGACGCTTGCAATGACATTTTTAATCTGATATTGTGCTGATCCCTAACACTGTTGCTTGCTCATTTCTCTTCAGCATACTCTCAAACATTGTTTGTCTGCTGAATTATCTATCATCAGGTATGATTTAAACATCAACTGGTTTAAACATCATCAAGTATGATTTTTAAAGTTACAGAGAATTGGTTTTATTTTTTCTTCTTAATTACAGATTCTGAAATGCTGAAGGAAGGTGTTTCAAGATTCACAAGACAAGAGCTAGAATTGGCGTGAGAAGACTTCAGAAGAATCATTGATTCTTGTGAAAATAGTCAGGCTTACAAGGAACGATCAAAGGCGGCGGGACTGAGATTGCAGTGATCTCTGTCTGCGTTAAACAAGAAGATTGGACTGGATATTATGAGCTTTATTTCCAGAGAGAGGTCCTTATTCTTCTTATGATTATCACTCACTCACTTGTAAGAAAACATCAGAAAAATCCTGACTGTTGGTGATTTCATTGTTTCAGGTTGCGGATTTGGCTAGATTACACCATGAAAATGTAGGGAAGTTACGTGGATACTGCAAAGAGAAGGCACCGTTTCCCAAGAGTGCTTCTTTTTGAGTATTCATCAAACGGGACACTATACGAGCACCTCCACTGTAATAATATACAATCAAACGTCTTCCTTAAGCTCTGTTTTGAGTTTACACTAGTATGGGTAGAGTTAGCTGGTAATATGTTTGGTATAAGGGAATTTCTTTTGGCATACTCTTGATTTCAGTTTGTTATATGTTGGATCTTCACTAAAATGAGCTTAAGTATCATAATATGTTCTTAAAAGAAAAGAAAAGAATTTTCTAGCGTTTCCAATATGTTTCTCGGTTGAATACTTACTTATCAGATTGCTTCCAACATGACTGCAATGATCTTGCTGTCTTCACTTTCCCTGCAACGCTTCAACAAATCTTTACAATCATTGAATACTTTGGAAATCAATTTCTGATTTGGATGCTTCCTCAGCTCAGGGTGACCTTTGACTAATTCCAACACCTCTCTCATATAATGGAGCCTGGCCCCCTTGTCTTCTCTGTCGAGCCCTGCTGCAAGGTGTTGAAGAAGGGAGATCAACACTGGCAGGCTGAGAGAAAGATCGGCGAGGGGTTTATGGATCTGCAAGCAGATCCATGGTGCCAAAGATACGTCTCTTGCAGTTAGGGCCAACTCAAAACCCCCCTCGAAATTGAGATCTTCGATCATCTTAGAGGCACGGTGACGTACAAGCTCAAGCACAACCTCCTTTTGATCAGTAGTCTCATCCCTTGAAAGGTCCATCTCAGCTTTAGCTTCATCCTCAATGACCACCATATCAGCTGCTTTGTATTCTACGGTGGTGGTTGAAGCACCGGCTTTGGTCTGTAGAAGGGATTCCAACATGACTGCTCTGCTTTTGCTTTGGCCTGTGTAATTCTTCAAACGACATGTCACATCCTTCAATACGTTTGAAATCCATTCCTGATTTAGATCCTTCCACTGCTCACGGTCCAGTTCCTTGACCACCTGATGCATGAAAGTCAGATTGTCCTGACTGGGGTCTAAGAAGAGAGCACGAGAAAGGTGGTGGAGAAGGGTCAGCAAGAGGTCCTGCCCCAAAGAAAGATCAGCCACGGGTAAAATAGTCTTGGTGCATAGCCATGGTGCTAAAAGCGACCCTTCTTCTCTGAGTGCTAAACTGAAAGCTGCTGTAAAGTCCCTTTCCATCATCAACTCCCAAACACGCTCCTTTAGAGCTTCTTCTTTGGGGCTTTTCTCAGAATCCTTCTCAGTGGTCAGAGGAATGTTCTTCTTATCTTTGGCATCGGTCACAAGAGCTTCTTCTTTGGGGCTTTTCTCAGAATCCTTCCCTATGTCCTTCTCATCTTTGGCATCTACACCCTCCGACTTCTTCTCAGCCACCTCAATAATCTGATCTTCAGCCACAATGGCCCCACTTTTACTCCTCTCTCGGTAAGCTTGGATGATATTGTTGCTATTGTCCTCAGTGACCATCTTCGCTTCATCCTCAGTGACAATCACAGCTTTCGTCTTCATCCCAGCAGCCTCAATGAACTTCTCAGATTCGGCTTCTACCACCTCTCTTCTCCTCTTCGCCTCCTCTATCCTCTCTTTACTCTTCTTACTAGAGTGTCGAAGGTAACCTTTCATCACATCGTCTGTCTTGTCCTTTGCTAGTTTTTCAATCTTTTTAAGGCAGACAAGCCAAGACTTCTCTTCAGGACTTCCCTCTTCAAATTCTTTTCTGTGGTTATGCAAATCCGCAATAGTGAAGAATTGCTTCAGGCAGCTAATGAATTGTTTCTCAACCCAATCAATCATGTTTTCGTCAGGTATGTGTAAGAACTTATCAATCGACGCAATGGATTCAACAAAAACAAACGCGTTATCCTCATCCTTATCCTCATCGGAGAAATTCACATATACTTAGTGACCAAAACTCAGAATTCATGAACCTCTCAGTTCTCAGCGAATATGAAAACCTCGTTTTGTAATTTCATCAACTCCAACTCGCACTTAAAATCATCGCGAAAACTCACTTTCATTGATAATCAGTCAATCAATCAAGTTCATCGGAGAAATTCACGTATACTTAAGTGACCAAAACTCAGAATTCATGATTCTTTCTCTCTCTCTCTCTCTCTCTGTTCTTTCTCTTTGGCGCTCTCAGATTGTTTACAAATTTCAAAAACTTATTAAGACGAAATGGGCCGCTTACTGGGCCTCTTACTGGGCCTTTCTTTCCCATTTTACCACGACTTGGTTATTTTTCGGGAAAACGACCTATTTCCCCACGAGAACTATGACATAGCATCAGATCTCCACGGAACTATGACCCCGTTCCAGATCCCCACCAACTGAAAGTTCTCTTTCCGAATCCCCACGAGAAAATAGTTCGAAACCTATGTCTCCATTGGCCTCGGTTCTGATCGGTTCTCTATGGTTTGCGATCTAAACCTAAAACCAAACTATCTATAACCGAAACCAAACCGAATTAAAGACCCGCCTCGTGACCCGTTGACCCAAAAAACGAAACAAAAACCCCCAATTCGATTTTCTCAAAACCTAAGAACCCTAAAATCGATTTCGTGAAATTGATTGCTCTAATCACAAAATTGGTGATGTATGGAGGCTTAAGTAATGTATCAGAGGTTCGATTGGATCATCAACTTCACTGCCAACAAGAAGAAGAGTTGTTGGTGTTCCTAAGAGATGTTGGTGTGGTGAGCAAATTCTGGGTTTGATATCCAAATCCTATCAGTCTATGGTGTTTGTAATGACATGGTGTTTGCTAGCTTAATGACAATGATTTGGGGTTTTCAATGATACTTGTGGGTTTCTTGCATTTTTTATTACAAACTACTTGATGCTTTTACATCGAAAAGGATGAACAACATAGAAAATGCTTAAAAACCGTTTCATTGAGCTCATAATCCATTACCAAAAGCATCTCAATAAGATAAGTAGAAAGTAGCCTAAATCAAACACCAAAAGCATCCTACATTTGTGTTCATACACAGCCGAGAGCCATTAAAAAAAACATAAAAAGAGCTCCATGTGATCCTTCTATTGCTTCCTACATCTGCTATGTTGCTTGAGAAGATGGAGCTTGAGTGAGAGTCCCTTGAGAGGATTCAGCTTGAGTGAGATTCGCTTGAGAGGCTTCTCCTTGACCCTGAAAAATGGAAACCGCAACATACATTACAAACCACAAACCAAAGGAGAAAGAGTTTTAACGCATATACAAACCTTGTTAGAATCATTCTTGTGTTTCCTTGAGTTATGGTTTGCATCTCCACAAACTCCACAATGCATTATCCTCTTTTTAAGCTTTGGTGCCTTCTTGGTTGGAGACTCATTAACTCCTCTTTTTCTTTTGTGGTCGGCTTTGGTTGTCTTTTTACTCTTGGATTGATCCACCAACTGATCCACCGATGGATCCTTTGATTTATCCTCCGATTTATCAGGTACAGGAGGAGGATGGACCTTTGGAGCACCTGTTGTTGGCCAAAACTTTATACCTCTCACTGGAATAGGCCCTTCTTCATAGTTTCTCTTCCACGTCGCTGTGCGGAACCAGTGACAAACATAATCCTCAGGTACCTTCACTTTCACCATTATCACTCCATATGCATGCTTGCAAGGAATTCCGCAAATTTCAAACTTATGGCAGCTGCAAGTTCTCCGATCCAAGTTTACACGGTAAGGACAACCATCTAGCTTTGCTTCATAGTACCCATTAGTGGCTGCAGTGACAATACATTTAGAAGCTTCTTCGTGCTCTTTTTCAAGAAACTTAGCAACATATGGTGTACAAATCCCTGAAACATAACCAGAAACCGTCAAGTCAGCAAGTGCAAACTTAAAGGAAAACCTTTGTAAGACTTAAAGTAGAACCCAAAAATTAAAGACATACCATTGTGACCATGAGATTTGGCCGATCTCTTGGCAATACGTGCCATAGCCAATCTTCTTATGGTCTCTAGCATTGGAACAAATGCCTTCCCTCTAGCCTGTTTTATTGTCTTGTTAAACGACTCTGTTGAGTTGTTTTCCACGTCTTCACAATAGTTACCTTTCTTGTAGAAAGCTCTGCACCAACTCCTGGGATTTTGCTTCATCACATCATTGTACACACCACTGTCGTAATTGAATAGCCTGTCCAAGTTTTCCAGAAACTCTGGTTCATTGTAGCTCCATGCCAAATTCCATATGTAAGGCTTCATGTGTTTTTTGCTTGGATGCTTTTTCTTCAAGTTCCCATAGATGTGTCTGACACACATTCTATGCTCAGTTTTTGGTAACTCTACTTGAACCGCTTTGATCAATCCCTAGTCAAAGAAAATACACCATCAAACATAAAAAATTCGCAAGCCATGAACTAACAAAACGCAAACAATAAGGAATTCAAAGATAAACAAATAAGTCTATATAGTTACCTTTTGTCGATCAGAAACAATGATGTATTGATCACCATCATTAAGTTGCAAATCGATCTTCAACTTCCTCAGAAACCATTGCCAATTGTCAAAATTTTCCACTGAAACTACACCCCAAGCTACAGGGTATATCCGATTATCTGCATCTCTACCCATAGCCACCAATACAGTTCCTTTAATTTTCCCTGAGAAGAAGGTGCCATCAAGACCTAGCAATGGCCTACAAGTATTTTTCCAGGTTCTTCTGATGACATCAAAGCATACATAAAACCTATTAAACACATCTTGACCTTCCGCATTTGTCAAACAGTCAACCTCCACAGTCGAATCTTTGTTTGACTCTAGCAACTCAGCAGCATAATCTCGGAGACGGGAAAACTGCTGATCATATTCCCAATCAATCCACTTCAATGCATTATTCCTAGCTGCTTGACATTGAGGCCTAGATACAATTATACCCCATTTTTGAATCTGTTCTTCAATCTTCATTGGCATGTAGTAACTTGGTTCCTCTCGGATTTTATCTAAAAATAGCCTAGCAATCACAGGAACCTTAATCATCTCACACTTCCCATTAGGAACACATGTATGTGTATCTATGAACTTCCTAACTCTCCACATGGGATCACTTGGAAGTGTTGAAGCATATACTTGCCACTTACAGTCTTCACCATTAACTTTACTACCACCACCAACACATTCAAACCCTATCTTATCTTTATCATACCTGTATTGCTTCAGATTTCGTTTGCTTTTTAGTGCATAGTCAAGAACAGCTTCTTTGAAAGCAACTCCATTGAAGAAGGTCTGGTCTTTGTACAAATGGCCATCAGGTCCATCACCACGCCTGATATGAGGGGTTCGCTGTCTTCCTACAAGAGGTTCGCCTTCCTCTGCTTCTTCTTCACTATCACTCTCAGTCTCTGGATATTCGTTGTGAAGAATCGATGGCTCGTCTTCGAACTCCTCAACAAGTTTCTGCACAAAATACTGATCTCTGTCTTCTAATTCATCATCAAAATCTTCTGCGAGATTCTCATGAGGAACGACAACAGACATTGTGTGATTTAGGGTTCTAGGCTGTATGGAAGTTTCTGATTAGGGGATATCTAGCTTAGGGTTCACGGTTGGGGGAATCTAGAGTTAATCGGTTTAGCAAACCTGGTTAAGTTGTAAGCGGGTCATAATCAGGTCATAATCGGGTTTTATTGGTTCATAATATGGTTTGGTGTCGTGTTTATGTTGGTTAATATGTCTGGTAAGTAGAGAACCGATCAGAACCGAGGCCAATGGAGACATAGGTTTTGAACTATTTTCTCGTGGGGATTCGGAAAGAGAACTTTCAGTTGGTGGGGATTTGGAACGGGGTCATAGTTCCGTGGAGATCTGATGCTATGTCATAGTTCTCGTGGGGAAATAGGTCGTTTTCCCTTATTTTTCTTTTCTCCCTCGCAAAACTTTTGTTCTCGCTCTGCAATTATAAAAAAAAAAAAAAACTTTTAAATCCGCGAATCTGGGAGTGAGAAAAGGTACTCGTATAATCGAATTCCTTCTTCCGTTGGTATCTCTCCTCGAAATGGACATTTAGGGGTTCGTTTTCCATTGTAGTTCCAGGCTGCTGGACTTCTAGATTCCTTCTCTGATTCGTTCTTTAGTTGGTATTGGGGTTCTTCCATGTTTCTTTTGCTCATTAGGTGTTTGACAAAATGCCTAAGTGAATCTCATACACGCTTTTACGGCTGAAAAGATTCAAAATTTCTTTTGTAAAAGGTTAGGAGCTTGGTTAAACTTATTTAGTTTTAAAGAATAACTCCACGGTTGTTGTGGAAAAGTTATAAGAACAGAATCTGTAGAAACTTGCTTTCCTCAGATAAACCAAAGGCTTGACTCGTTGACACTTGACATACAGGGTTTTAGCGTATCTTCATCATGGGTATGCTTATAATGAATCCTGTATAGAATGTATTTCGTAGAGAGCTCATTTTATAGTCTCACTCGTTGCTTGTTCCTCTCAGGGGCAATGCTAAGCCGCAGGAAGATATTGCACTTAAAGGTAAGTCTCTACTAAATTCTTTTCAAGTTAATCTCATCACTGTACATGTGTTTATACCACTTCTCATAAAGAGCCATCTGAGACTTCTCAACTGAATGAAGTTGGACTTCACAGTGGTACCGAGAAAGGTTTTCTCTTTGATATTACTTTTTCAGAAGAGTGGGAGTAAAGGGTAAACAGTTACTTCCAAAAACGCCATCGCGGCTGAGAATCTCTGAAGGTGCAAACTTCATTTTGTTTGAAATAAGAGCTCTTTGATACAATTGTAAGTAATTTTACTTGTGTTGTCTCCTTTTTAGTGTTCACTAGTTAAAGCCTCTTGGATTATCTTTTGCTTATGAAGGTTCATAAGATGAGACTTGAAGAAAGTGAGTCGAAAATACTTCAACAGCTTATAGATGCTATTGTTCACTGTCACTGCAAGGGTGTTTACCACCGTGACCTAAAAGTGAAGCCATTTAACAAAGTTTCCTTGGAACATTTCTGATTTCTGATTTAGTAATGAAATTTAATCTGACGAGAAGCTCGGATGAAGCCGTCTGCGTGTTTCAAGGCACAGACGATGATCACACGCTTTCGATGATCCTCTTACACCCCTGGGGAGCAGTAGTTGGTTTGGTTTGGAAGGGTTCTTGGCAGATTGTATGGCTTGCGCCAAAAAGCTTTTGCGAGGTACCAAATTATTGTGGCAAGAATTCCTTCTGTTGCGCCACTGAACCGGTGGACCCGGACACGTTCATGTCCATGCCCAAGGCCACGTGTAAGTGCATTCTAGGTTACCACCCGATGAAATCAGGAGAGAGCATTGGGGTGCGTCCGTGCGAGAGGCAGGCAGAGCTTAGCTGCTCTGCTAATGAGTTTCATCCGTTCAAAACAGTCAAGTTGCCCGCCACTGCTAGCACCAATAGCTTCATAACTCCCGGTTTGGAACAATGCAAGGACAAGTGCTTACAAAACTGCGAGTGTAAAGCATACTCGGTATTCGCTTACGGAAACGGAAGCCTGACGCAAAACTGCACAACCTGGAGCGGAGACTTAACTGACCTAGGATGCTACAATTCCTCCGCAGCTCAAACTCTCTACATCCGACAAAACGGTACGTTATGTTAGAACATAAACGAGGAATGGTTTTATTTACTCTGAAACTTGATTGTTTACATTACAACACTAATGGTTTAGATAGATCACAAACAGACACAACACAAGAACACAAGAGTTGTGTCTCTTCATCACGCACAACTATCAAAAGTAAACAGTCATAACCGTTACTAAGAGAATTAAATGTTAGAACAAACTCAATTATATTCTAACACGTTAAACTTATGCATTTGACTAGTCATTATTATACACACTGATTAATGACTCTTTTCCCTTTCTTTCCAGGGGAGATGAAGACGAAGACGAAGACGAAGAAAAAGAAGAAGATGAGCATCATAGTGTACGTAATCATAGGATTATCTGTTTCCGCTCTGTGTCTTTTGTGCGTAGCCTTATACTGCTACCGCAAAAGGATTCAAAAGAAATTAACACCAGCTCCGGCAGCCACGGACGAAGTGGAGATGAGATTGATTCGGGAAGGAGCCACGGACGACCACGAATCACTCCCACAAATGGAGTTTTCCACAATTGTGGATGCCACCGAGAATTTCTCGCATCTGATTGGCAGAGGAGGGTTCGGTAACGTTTACAAGGTAAAACTATAAACGTTGAGGAGTGGGATAATTATAAGACGTAAAACACAATCTTGGAAATGTGATATATATATTTAATTACTGGAACACAGGGATTGTTACCCGATGGGACAGAGATTGCTGTGAAGAAACTGTCGGAGCAGTCAAATCAAGGCAACGAGGAGTTCTATACCGAGGCGACATCAATCCGACGGCTCAGACACGTGAACATCGTCCGACTCTATGGCTGGAGTGTTCACAATGACGACAAGCTCCTGATTTACGAGTACCTGGAAAATGGAAGCCTGGAACGTCATCTCTTCTCTGAGCCATCTGGTGAATATCTGCATATATATACAGTATATGCTACAAGGGTCAAGGTAGCCCCATTTATTTCATACAAGTCTAACAAAACAATACTATATTATTTTCGATTTGTAAGGTGGTGGTGGCGACCTAGACTGGCCAAGGAGATATCACATTGTGAAAGGTATAGCCCAAGGGCTTGCCTATATCGAAGAAGGTTTTCAAGATACCATAGTCCACCGAGACTTAAAACCGGCTAATATCCTCCTCGACACCAACATGACCCCCAAGATTTCGGATTTCGGGTTCGCCCGAGTCTATGGAAGGGCCGAGGACGAAGCTTTCACGGAGCGTCCGTCTGGAACTTAGTAAGTGATCCTAATACCAAAAAATTCACTTTTTTTTTTTTTTTTTTTTTTTATCTCTCTCTCTCAAACTAACCTCTTTCTAACTTATTTTCATTTTTACAGTGGTTACATGGCCCCGGAGTATATGCAAGGAGGGTCATACTCGGCTAAGTCGGACATCTTTAGTTTCGGCGTTACTGTCCTTGAGATTTTAAGCTGTAAAAGGAACAAGACCTTCGCTGCTGACATGGGTCTCAACGTCAACCTTCTAGAATATGTAAGCTTATGTTTCTTTTTGATTCACTGCTGACTCATCTGCTAGCTAGAGGTGGTTTTAATCTGGCTTCTTGTCTTGTTTGGCTTTGAACAGGCCTGGATCAAGCTGGATCAAGGCGACTATTTGGAGGTTGTAGACGAGAAGATCAGAGGAGATTCTTTACCAGATTGGCAAGTCCTGAGATGCGTCCAAGTTGCTCTCCTTTGCGTTCAGCAACAGGCAAGTGAAAGACCAAATATGTCTTTGGTCGTCACTATGCTCCAGGAAGAAGACTATCCCACTCCCAAACCGCTACGTCCTGGCGTTATCGCCGTTGCCTCAACTTCATCGTGCCAAGACCCTTCCGGGTCTACTCCCACCCACATCATCGAACCCATCACCCAAGTCTACCCCCGCTAGTTCTGATGAAAACTTCCAAATCATTCCTTCTCTTTCAACTCTCTTCATAACTCCCTTTATATATATATATATATATATATGTGATTAGCTGGGACATAATGTTATCAACCTTGGTCCACCAACAACGAACTGCTGTCTTTTCCTTGAATAATACATATTTTGCTGCATATTGTTTTTCCAACATCCAAGTAACCGATCAAATAGCTTGCATCATACACTAGATCCACGATACGGATAACCAAAAACTTTGTTTCTTGTTTATCAAGTTACACCTCTGTGTCTTTAGAAACAACAGAGTAGAATAATGCATTGTAGCCCATTCTGGAGCCAACAAGAAGGAATCAGGAGAGGGACACAACGTGATGAGTAATCAAGATATCGAATAACCAAACCTTAGCCCTATGAATACGACCCAAACGCTATTTTATACTATAAGTATAACCTAAGTGATTTTAGACTAATATGTTCGTTTAATTATTTAAATTAAAACTAAGAAATTAAATCATATTGTGCATATAAAAATTTTATATCTTCGTTTTGAAAACTAAATTATTCTTCATATAACTAAATAGCTAGGCATCATACACTAGATCCACGATACCAATAACCAAACTTTGTTTCTTGTTTATCAAGTTATACCTCTGTATCTTTAGAAACAAGCGAGTAGAAGAATGCATTTTAGCCCATTCTGTCTTCAAGTTTTGCTTTTTTTTCCATCATGGAGCCAACAAGAAGGAATCAGGAGAGGGACACAATTTGATGAGTAACAAAGATATCGAATAACCAAACCTGAGCCCTGTGATATGAATACGACCCAACCGCTGTTTTATACTATAACTTAAGTGATTTTAGACTAATAAAGATATCGAATAACCAAACCTTATCCCTATGATTACGACCCAAACGCTGTTTTATAAATTATACTATAGCCTAAGTGATTTTAGACTAATATATATCATATTGTACATATAAAATATCTTCGTTTTGAAAACAAAATTAGATTTCTTCACTAAACTACGATTTGTTTGGTTCTTTGTATATAAAAATAAAAGAGATGATATTGCTTGGCACGACTCCAACGAACTAAACTAGAGTAAACGCTGGTAATCCTACGTGGCATCTCCCGCCCAATAATCCAGCAAGTTTGTTAACGTAAGTATACGATTGACCCAACGAAATTTTAAGATTCCCCACTAATAATACGACACGTAAGCAAACGCGCGAAATCACTAACCAAACACGTGAGGAAACACGGATAGATTGGGTGCACCGTAACGTACAAGATTACAACAATTATAAAAATTTCATCTAAAATTAAATTTGTTTTTAAATCTCCGCTCACTCCCCAAGATAGATCTATCCGAGAGAGACACAAATTCACTCTTTTTGACTTGCTTTTTTTCTTTTCTTTTTTTTTAATTTTGGTGAAAAGCTGATTTTGTCTCTTCTATTCCCCCCAACTCTCCGGTGTCAGTTTTACGGCGGCTCCGTCGTTTATTACGGTCAACGATGTCTGTGACCGTGCCGGAATTCGATTTCAGAGTACGTCTCTTCTTCCCGATTCACTCTATCAATCTCTAAGGTTTCCTTCATTGCATTTTTCTTCTTCTTCTTCTTCTGTGTTTGCTTCTCTACAGTTGACGCCTCGATTTGGTTTTTCGCCGATCGGGTGAGTTTTCTCGTCATTTCTAAGATTTATCCTTTCCCTGCTTCGATTGGATTCACTGAGATGGAGATTTTGACTCTGTTTATCGATCAGGGAGCAGAGTTTCGCCGATGCCGATAATCTGGAGCACTGTGTAAAGTACTTAAATCAGAGCTTAGTCACTTACGGATTCTCTGCCTCGCTCGACCTCTTCGCTGCCGATCCTGTGCGTCTTCTTTTCTTTTTCTACTCTTTGATTATCTCTACTGTTCTGGGTAGTTTTTCATGAATCTGAATCCGATAAACTACTTGTTGTTATTAGGTTTCGATTGCGAGAACTTGCAATTGCATATACGCTTTGAAAATCTTAGACTAATCAAGTCTTTTGTTTCATCTTCTTATAATTTTATTTTATTGCATAAGAATAAGATCGTAGGAGTCCTCTCTGTTCAGATACGAACATGGTCCTTGCTGCTTTATGTTCTTAGTTGTTTCCGGAATTACAAAAATAATAATAAAGTATTTGCATTTGGGTCGTTTTTTACCGTCTCTTGTCTTGTGCTTGATTGCTGAGAAGAAGTTAGGTTAATTTTGTATTTTCTCCATTGATTGTTAGCCTCTTATCAGATAAGAAACACGCATCCAGCGCAATCACGTTTTCTTAACACATACTAGGAACATCTCTTCTGTTTCCTCAGGATAAAACTGATTATGACCATGTTAGATAATGTTGCTCTGGAGCTCATGTTTGCTCCAATTGTTGGCCTTTAATGACAGTTGCTATCAAGCTCACTGATACTTCCGTAACAAGTACAAAACTAGTGTTTGGTGGCTCTGTCCTCAGATTTGCATCTCTCTGAGTTTTTGTTATACGTTCGTTATATCTTGGAAACTCACAATGCTGTACACAATAGATAGTCTTTGCCAATGCACATGACTGTTTGGTCTTTTTTTTTATAAAAAGAACGTGTAGTCACTCATTTTGGTCAGAGTATTTTGGTTTCAAACACATCAGGACATCGTGGAGCTCACTGTTGGGTTTGTGATGCTAAAGCTCCTAGGTGAAACCATTACTCAACTCATCCCTAACACCGTTGCCCATGTCTCTTTCTATCTTCGGCGTTATGAAATCAGATTGTGGTTTTTTGTTGGTGTCTTCTGGTAATTCAAAGTTTAGTTATTGTTTGTTTATGTTACACATGGAAATGAAAACGATGCAAGAAAAGTTGCTCGTATGGGTCATTCTCTTCATCCGTTCCTTGCGTATAAGTTTCTCCATCACTTTTGCCTTTCTTTTCTGCTACTAATTTTCATCTTGGCCCTTTTCAGAAGGAATTCTTTGAGGGTCAGTTACAAGCAACTCAAATCACCTTTTTGCCTTTCTAGTTCTAAAATCTCTATTTGTGCTACTAATTTTTTCCATCTTGGTCTTTTCAGGAGATCTTGTATGTGGATTTTCTCTAGGATTTCCTTGAAGGTGGGTTACAAGCAGACTCAAAGTATGGCAATTTTCTCTAGGATTTTCTCTAGGATTTCCTTGAAGGTGGTAGATACTTGTTGTGATGAATCACTTTCTGCAATTTTTTCTTCTTCTATCTTCTGCGTTATGAAATCAAATAAAATCCTGCAGGTTGACTATTGAACAAAGCTCATCAGTTGCTGAATACATCCGCGTTTATAAGGTCCTGTTTCTCAAGCGCTAGATTGTGGTTTATTTGTTGGTTTCTGGTAATGCAAAATTCTCAGGAGCCGATGTTTGCTCCAACTATTGGCCTTTAATGACTTTTGCTATCAAAGTCATTGATTCCTCCTTAAAAGGTACCACAAAGTGAAATACAACTAGTGTTTTGGTGGTTGTCCTCAGATTTTCCATCTCTATGAGTTTTTGTTATTACGTTTCTGTATCTTATAGTTTAACTTTTTCAATACTGTACACAATAGCCTTTGTAGTGTCAAGACTATTTGGTCTTATTATGACACAGTTGCTATCAAAGTCATTAATTCCTCCTTAAGAGGTACTACAAAGTTACATACAACTAGTCATTAATTCGTCTTGGAGTTGAACCTCGAAGGTGAAACCATTACTGAACTGATCCCTAACACTGTTGCTTGCTCATTTCTCTTTGGTATGAATCACTTTCTGCATTATCTCATCTTCTGCTTTATGAAATGAAACTCTTTTGTGATAAAATCCTGCAGGTTAACTAATGAATAAAGATCATCAGTTGCAGAATACTTCCGTGTTTATAAGGTGCTGTTTCTTAAGAGCTAGATTGTGTTTTATTTTTTTGGTTGCTTCTGGTATTGAGAAATTCTCTTTAAGTTTAGCTATTGTTTGTTTATGTGACACAGGGAAATGAAAACAATGCAAGAAAAGGCGCTCTTATGGGTCATTCTCTTCATCCGTTTCTTGCGTATGGGTTTCTCCATCACGTTTGTCATTATGAATTTGAAAATCACTATTTCTGCTACTAATTTTCCATCTTGGGCTTTTCAGGAGATCTGCTATGTGGATTTTCTCTAGGATCTGGATTTCTTTGAGGTGAGATACAAGCAGACTCAAACTATATTCTCAAGCAAAGAAAAGTGTGAGAAGATACTTGACATGATTTCAGATGAAGGTATATATATATTTCCAGCTTATGTGAGGTCCAAATCTCAGTTTGGGCATGTACAGATATTCAATCAGACCTCAAAGAAAAGTGGGAGAATTCTGCGAGATCATCTCTTTCAGAAGAAGCCACTATCCTTACAAGGTGGGAGCAGCTTAAAAAATCGCTTCTCTTCAAGAAACAGAATGTAAAAGAGGCTTATTTCTCTTTCGCTCAGCTTTTAGCTTTGATGAACACCTTGAATCCCAGAGATTTGCTCATTTTCAGTCTCGTACCAATTGTTTCAGGCTCCAGACTGCGGATGTGCGTAGAAGAAATTGTCTTCACCTTCACGTACCTCGAATTGATTTGGAGGTTTGTCATAATACAATTTTCATAAACATGGGAAACATTACCTGATTGTATAGTTAGTTGTCCTGAGTGTTGATTTTTAAATACTATATCACAATACCAGTTTGATAAGTAAGAATCATGTTAATACTTTTGTCAATATATATGTGTGTAAGCTCAAATTCTTAAGAAATGTCTTGTGGTTTACAGGTCGGGTCTGTGTTCCTATCGACCCGAAGAAGTGCGATGAGTTTGATCCATTGGCAGTGCCAACACTTTCTCAGGTAAAAATAATAGACAATATGACACATTAAAGTGTGGATCATCACAAATATATTGTTTCTTGAGCTTATCGATAGTATTTCATTTTCTTACGATATTTTCAGCTAATAGAAGAAATCAACTCAGGAGGCCTCAAAATGGATGTGGATGATTATGCTGGTACGTTCTTGAATACTCTAATCAATATTCAAATGTTTTTACAGTTATTTTTTATACCTGCAGAGCCAGAGTCAGAGAGAAGTTTACTTGTGAAATCAGTCAGTTTCTTCAGATCCTCCTTCCTTGAACCTTTACTAAAGTCCTGCAAGGTAAATAAATCTCTCGCTGTTCGACTTTTCTCCACGGTTAAGAATCGATACATGATCATAGTAGAAATATATGTTGGAAGAGTGATGATGATATGATGTTGATGAAATGTGTGCAGGAAGACATAGAGAGTTCATACAAAACTAAGATTGACAAGACTAAGGATTCATTCAGCTGGTGACTAAAGTCTCGGATTTTGTTCTGGTTCGCAATCTTTAGTTTCGATTTCAGTTTGTAATGTTACGATCTTCACTAAATTTTATCATCTATCAGTAGAGAGTAGTCTCTATATACAGTATCTTGTTGTTAAGGTTGCTATAAATGTGATCCCATTTTTTTTTAATAAAGTTTGTCGATAAAAAATGTACCCCAAAACTTAGGATATCTACAATTAAAAGATTACTAATCCAGTCCACACTCATCATACAAAAATATAACACAAGAAGCCAGCTTGCCAAGTCAATATGCATTTCTGATTAACATACACTAGGAGACGATTTTGTTATATTAGCTAGTGGTGTCCGTCTAGGGTTTATTCAGCATGGCATCATCTCCTAGAGAAACCTGGGCGGCCGACTTGGAGAAAATCAAGCGAAAATATCGCGAATTTTGTGATCGCGAAGCTGCTCAAGCTAATCGTAGAGCTTTGTTAGCCCTTCTTTTTGGAAAACCTAAGGAAGATGGATATGGCCCTGCAGGCTTGGTGACGCGGACGCCAAAAGAAAGAAGATGTCCAGTGGAGAAGATGCTTCATGATGGTGTCAGGAGGCGGCGGAGAAACCAAAATCAGAGACTAATGAGTAAAGACTAATCAAGTCTTTGTTTAATTTTCTTGCATAACAATAAGATCATACGAGTCCTCTGTGTTATGAAATGTAGGAACATGATCCTTGCTGCTCTTAGTTGTTTCCGGAACTACAAAAATAATAATAATGAAGTCTTTGCCTTTGGGGCTTTGGGACGTTTTCTACCTTTCATCAAGACAATGCAGATAAGAAACACGCATACATGTCTCTTGTTTCCGATGTTAGGATATTGTTTCTCCGGAGCTCATGTTTGCTCCAACTGTTGCCCTTTAATGACAGTTGCTTGACAAGTAAAACTCATTTTTGAAAATCCTATTGTGATAGGGATTAGGAAGATTTACATTATTTGGTGTTATCAATAATGTCAATGTTAAACCCTATATATAATATGGCTCTTATGCTAACACAACTCAATAATATTACCTTCTATTATATTTAGGTGTAACAATTGATTCTGAATTGTGCTCTCTCATCCGTCTAGGGGGTTTCTGCTTGAAATCTTTATCATCGTCATGGCATCGTCTCCTAGTGATACCAAGGCAAAAAATTGCAAATTTGCTGCTAGCCAAGTTGCTAAAGCTAATAACCCTCAGGAAGATGGATATTGCCCACGCTTGGTGAGGCCAGCCGATTTCAAACCGTCCGGCTTGGTGACGCCTAACGATTTCAAACCGTCCGGCTTGGTGACGCCTAACGATTTCCTACTGTCCGGCATGGTGACACCAGCCGACTTCCTACCGTCCGAGGAAGAAAGAGGAGATGTTTTGAAGCAAGTGGGAGATCTTATGAAGCTAGTGGAGAAGATGCTTGATGGTGGTCAGGAGACTCGGGAGGAGTTGGAGAAACCAAAATCTTAGACTAATCAAGTCTTTTGTTTCATCTTCTTATAATTTTATTTTATTGCATAAGAATAAGATCGTAGGAGTCCTCTCTGTTCAGATACGAACATGATTCTTGATGTTTACCTTTCATCAAGACAGTGCAGATAAGAAACACGCATACATGTCTTTTGTTTCCTCAGGATATAACTGATTATGACCATGTTAGATGCTGTTTGCATGAATCTCAACATAAAGACCCATAGTAACTTAGCTTTCTCATTAAAACCACACACTTTTGAATGTTACAAAACAAACAAAATAGGATTAGTATTTTTTAGCGACAATACAATTAGTTTTATACCGTAAAATAGTGCTACCACACAAATCTAGTAACTAGATATAACTTAATGGATTCGGAGATCAAAGGTTGGGATCTCGGAAGTGAAACCATGTGAGAGGTAATAGAGAAGCCTCGGGAATATGTTTCTGTAAGGATCACTTTCTCTCTTCACCTTCAGGTAAGCCATACATCTTTCTACTTCTGACTTGACCTCCAAGTAAACCCCTTGAGCCTTGTCTTTATCGTTTAGCTCTTTCTCTCTACCTTTTGTTTCTATTGGTTTCCCAAAATAAACGTAGAACCGTCCCGGAATCTTTGGAATGATTCCAGGCACATGCAGATCTTGGTTTCCCACTTCGCCTTCTTCACCGTTCCTAGACCATATTATCATCACCAGATTCAGAATCAGAGATCAAATGTTATATAATAGAACGTTGACAAAAGATTGAAAAGGTCAAATACCTCAGCTTGATTGTGTCATGTGTTATCTCTTCTATGAGATTCTTCAGGAAAGGGATCTTCATTTGATCATTATAATCAAAAACCATCTGAGAAATCATTCAAGTACTCAAATTACTTTACTCGAAACCCGATTGAAAAGAAAAAAAAAAACTAGAACGGAGAAGAGATTTGGCTTACTTGACAGATATCATCTTCTCCAACAACGCCAAAAGGAACAATTTTTGCTCCAAATTTAGAAGCTAGCCTTACAAACTCTGAATGTTGTGGCCAAAACAACTTGTGTTCTTCATCGGAATCGGAAGCTCTCGGAAGCTTTCGGAAGCTCGCTTCCATGATGCTTCCTAAAAAACCCCTTTAAAAATGTTTTGGAAGCTTACCATTCCGTTTTGGAAGCTTACGCTTCCATTCAAAAATATGATATCTTAAATAATTATGAATAATTTTATATGTTTATGATTTTATAAGTTATAAAATGAAAAACTAATATACCATGTATTTAATTTGGCATTCACAAATTAAAGACTAATTTTAATCTATTATCTGTCTATAAAAAATTTGTTTGAAAAAGTTATTACAAATAAAACGAGAATAATTATTTTGATTAGAAAAATGCGATTTTAATTTAGTGATCTTTCTTTAATAAATAGATATTATAAGATTATTTTACATGGAGTTAGAGAATAACGAAATAAGTAACTAAAATTGGTTTTTTATTTGAATTATTATTAATTGAATAAAATTGATATATTTGATTTATGCTATATATAGACGCTTCCAACACGTACCCGCTTCCTAATTTTTTTTAAAATATCGTTTCTGCGCTTCCAAACGCTTCCGCTTCCGCGTACCCGCTTCCAAACTTTGGAATACCCAATGAGTTTTGTGAAAAACTATTCAATTGTGAAATTAAACTCTAAATAACTCCAAACCACCTAGGTTCCACCTAGCTAAGTTCATTACAAGACTAATAAGAGTGCCAATTTCAAGTTTAGTCAAGAGTTTAGACCAAACAAGAAACTTATCGAAATTTTTGATCTTGTATAAACATAGAATTAGAGTTAGAAGACATACCTTGTGTGTTGAAATGTGAATAATGGTTGCAAGAGCAAGTAATTTCTAATTTACAGTTATGAACAGTAAAAAATTTGAAATCAAAACTCTTAAGAGTTCCTCTAATGGGGTTTTAGGGTTTTGGAGAAGAAAGAGAGGTTCTTGTTGTTTTCAATGGAAAGGTAAAGTAAATAAGCTCAAGTCCTATTAATTTTCCTTTTCAAATTCGAATTTTTGATTGAAAACCGGTTTAAGTTGGTTTAGGATTGGTTAAAACCGGTTTGAATTTAATGAAAAGGGAACTTACCTTGGCCGAGAAAAGTTTGGTCGATGGCCATGAGATTTTGTCGCGGCCGTGCGATTTGGTCGGCCAAATCTCGTATGGACGAGAGATTTCGGCCGAGGCCGATTGTTAGTTTCCCGGATCGACCGTAACAGTCGGTCCGTTCCGATACAACAATCCGGCCGAGCGCGGTCCGTTTCTTCTCTGTTCGTGCGTGCCGCGCGGGCGGTTCTTTGTCGCGCGTTTGAAGCAATCCGGCCGAGCATAAGCCATTCCTTCCCGGCTCGACGGGCACAGTCGGCCCGGTTGGAAATTGCTCGGCGAAAACTTTTTTTTTTCTGCGCGTCCGCGGCCAATGGTTTGGCGCGGATTGTGTCTTCACACCTTTTTATCCTTCTATCTGATGTGGAGTCAGGTTTTACCAAACTCCTAGACCTCTGCAAGTGCACAGATCGCGGAAGTATGGGTATCGAACACAAGGACTGGCTATTGAGTACACTTTGAAACTATGGATTTTGGATCAAGCTAAAACAAAAGTATGATTGAGGTTGTAATGGTGAACCGAACTAGCAAGTATAACGAGGTTGTAAATCAATAAGGGAAAAGCGCTAGGTCATAGGGGCTATCGCAGAGAAGCAAGCAATGATCAATGAAACAATGATAGATGAATTGATTAGGGATATTGGGATATTAAGAACCGTCTAGAACACAGATCACGAATATAAAACCATTCCACTTTCGAGGCTCCGGCTCCTTTGTTAATCTACCTAGTCGCTAAACTTTTGGTATGTCCCTAGGTGATTAAATCAAGCTTTAGAATGAATAGGTTCTGATACAGTTCACTAGATTATAGTAGATCAACTTTCGCAGTCTAAGAAACCTAGCTTGTCAAAGAATATGTCCGGCGAATGATACAACACTGTCGAGGCTCAAATCAACCTAAGATCGGATTACTAGATGCGCGGTAAAGCAATCAGCATTAGTTAAGTGCACAAGACGAGACAAAGACTCTAATATAATCCCTAGCTAATCATTGAAATCAAAGATCATGCAAGCAACTCATTGAATAGTAACCCTAGCAACCTAACTAGTGGATTACTCAGACATGATCAAAGCAAACACACATAGAGATGAAGAAAACATGATTGCAATAAAACTTAGAGTAGGAAATCGAAATACAAGGGCGGCTCTCTTTTCACAAGAGGCTAAAAAGCTATATATATAGTGCTAGGTCTTTTAGAGGCGGCTTAGGGTTAAGCCGGGCCTTGAAAATATGAAATGGGCTTCAAAACGGGCTTCGGGTCGACCGCGGCGTTGGGACGGTCGGTCGGGACGATCGGCCGGACGGGATCGGTCGGGCGACGGTCGTGTCGGATGGATCGGTCGTGGCCGGTCGGCGATGGTCGAGCGGATCGTGGTCGGCCGCTGTGGTCGGACGATGAAGACTTGGCCGATGAAATCTCTCGGCCGGACGCGAGGCAGTTCCCCGGCTCGGACGGAGCGTTCGTGCGTGGTACGCGAAGTTGCGCGGCCGCGAGGCTTGCTTCCCGGCTCGCGCTTTGGTCGTGCGCGGCTTGGAGTGGCGTGGCTTGGCCGACCGCGGGCTTAGTTTCCCGGGTCGTGATGCGTGATCGGCCGATGGTTTTGGACTTTGGCCGAGACTTCAGACGGACGGACGAGATTTGGCCGAGCGTGGAACATCGTTCCTCGGCCAGCCGGACTGCGCGTTTGGGCGCTGATTCTCGATAGAGCCGTCTGGACAGTCTTCACTCTTTTGGTTATAACTCCTTTTCTACTCATCCAAATGAGGCCATTCCAGTTGCGTTGGAAAGTTAACTCAATCAGAGCACGCAGGGAACTGGTCTTGATGAAATCCATTGAGTAGATCTTTTTCTGGGCCCTCTTAAAGTTGGTGCTTGTGCATGGAGCGGCTTGAAGTGCAAATCCTATGGTTTTGCTCCAAAATGCATCATTTCACCTGTTTAGACTCTAGACACTATAAACACAGTAAAACTACCTTTTTAGATAGAAAACCTGCCAAAAACCATTAGAAAACAATGCTAAAACAGTATAAAAAGCATGTAAAATAGAGGTATATCACTATCCTATCTTAAAACAAAGAAAACACAAAAGCAAAACAAAAACTAAGAAATTTAAAGAAAGAAAAGTAAAAGTACCTCATGGGTTGCCTCCCATGCAGCGCTTGTTTTAAGTCTTTAGCTTGACTGTAAGGCTTGGGCTCAGGAGAAGATGGAGACAAGAGGCATCTTTGATCCTCCAAGTCTTTTCTCCTTGCAATGAGTATCTGGTGGGTGATTCACAGCTGGATAGACAATCTCTCCATGAATGTCCCTTGGCACAAATGCCTTAGGAAAAAGTTGTAGAGTTCTTGTAACTTTCTCCTTGAATCCTTCTAGATTCTCATCAATAAGCTCTTCATGTTGCGGCCAGACCTAGGTTTTCTACCTTCTTCTTGGCTTGGCCTCATCTTCAATCTTGGATGATCCCTTGGGCGGTTTTGGTGTAGGGGCCTTAGTCTTACTCCTTGCTTGTGTGGCAAGCTGCTTGGGCTTAGGAATGGGATCTTCCTTGATTGTATCTTCAGTTTCTCCTTCTTGGGGTGGCTTCAAAGTAACTTTCTCCTCTTGGACCATGTCAACAAAAGAGTTCTTTGTTGAACACATAGGGAAGAACATACCCTTGTTCACCTTGTTGAAAGAGATTCTTTGATTGGGGAAATCAAATATGGCACCCACAGTAGACAGGAAAGGGGTTCCAAATATGAGAGGTCTATGGCTACTCTCTCTCATTTCCACAATCTGGAAATCGGTGGGGATAGAGCAATTTCCAATCTGCACCATCACATTAGGCACAAAGCCATAGGGGTTTGTGAGAATGAATCAGCATAGTTGATGGAGATGGATGATGGCTGTATCTTGGTGAGGCCTATCTTGTCAGCTATCCTCTTAGACATGATGTTCACATTGGCTCCTGTGTCACACAAAGATTGCTCAAGAATGTTACCTTTGATGATACAAGGCACAACAAACTTTCCTGAGTTATCAGTCTTGGGGATAATCTTTGGGAAGAGTCTTCTCTTTCTAGCTCGATTGGACTCTCTCTCTGGGTAATCTCTTCAGGCCAAATCATGCAATCAACAGTAGGTTTTGAAAGCATCCATTCTGGAACTTGATCTTCAAATCTTTCTTCTATGGCGGCTGAGTTGCAAAAGGACTTCTTGGATTCAGCTTCCTGTCTCTTAACAGCTTCCATAGTTTGGTGACTTGAGTCTCTAGTTTCTTCACATGAGTGGCAACAGCATCATACTTGGTGTTGAGATTGCTGAACAAAGTGTCCATCTTCTCATACATCTCTTTGCTATTCTTTTCTGGCCATCCATGATCTGTTGGAGGATTCCTTCAAAATCCCACCTTGTTGGTTTGGAGGAGCTTGATTTGGTGAAGAAGCATATGGCTCCTTGGGCGGATATGATGTCTCTGCTCATACCCTTGCCTTGGCTGAAATTGACTTCCTTGAGATTGGTAAGGAGGTCTTTGTTGTTGTGGATACCTTGGAGGATACACTTGGTCTTGAGGATTCTCCACATTGGGGTTCCTTGATGATAGGATTTTATGTGGATGTGATATGATATGAATGAAGGATGATAAGATATGAGGTGGAATGCAAACAGGGTGAATAAAGATGAAATGGTGCAATCACAATCAATCAATTCCTCTTAACCATCATAGTCAATGTAGTACAAGAGGTTATCAATCCAAAATGGGAAAACTTGTCACTCTTTGAGAATATGAAACCACAAGAAAGTCAAGCAAGCAGTAATAGATTTGAAGTAACACTAACAACCTAAATAAATGAAATGCAATGCAATAAAAGTAAACAAAGCAGTGAAGTAGCAGCTCGACCAAGAACTCGAGTCGAGTCAGAACAAAGTACCAGCTCGATCGAGTTTAGGGACGAGTTGAGACAAACAAAGCTAAAGGTGACGACTTTAACAAGATAATGCGAGTATTAGGGTCTAAGACAGGGTTCTACAATCAGAGGAAACTACACTTAATCCATCCAGCTCTTAAAACTCCTTGTATCAAGGCTTCTCTTGATATTGGGCTTCTCAATGCCTAACCAACCCTTTCCCAAGGTGAAGGTTATCAACCAAGGAATGATCTCAGAAACAGGGGGTTAGCCAGTGAGAATCAAACCTTGGAGGCTATAGGATCATTGCCCAAACTAATCCATCCAACCCCTTAGACCTCTATTTTCTAGAGCAAGAGATATTGGAGCTCTTAGTGGATCTTTTCCAGCAATTGCCATCACTTTCGTGTGGGGAATCGCCTAAGGACTTACAAGCCAGGGGTAGTGGTCATGTAGCCTTAAGATTGATATACCTCTATTTTACATGCTTTTTATATGGTTTTACTATGCTTTTCATAAGGTTTTTAATGGCTTTCTGATCTAAAAAGGTAGTTTTTATGTATTTATAGTACTTAGAGTCTAAACAGGTAAAAAGATGCATTTTGGAGCAAAACACAGGATTTGGACTTCAAGACCACTCCAAGACGTAGCATCAGCTTAAGAAGGGCCTTAAAAACATTCTACTCAATGGAATTCATCAAATCCAGTTCGAGGAGATGCATACATGAGTTAGCTTTGCAATGCAACTGGAATCAATCAATTTGACCGAGTAGATTGGGAGATATCTCTATTTCCCTGAGACATATACCGAGGAGATTTATCGGACTGCATCAGTACATCAGACGAGCAGCAGCGGCTTAGACCCTTAAACTCAATGGATTTCAATGAAACTCAACACCAAGATAGCCAGATGAGTTAGTGTTCTAATGCCGTTGGAAGTATGCAATTTGGATAAGCCGTTTAGGAGATATCACGTTTGTACTGAAGACTGGTCCACAGCCGGCCGAACGCACTCGGCCGGACAGGAAGGGAATTGGCTTCGCTCGGCCTTCTCCAGGACCGATCCGGCCGCACGACCGCACCGTCCGACCCGGGAGGCAATGGACCACGATCGACCGAGATCATCACATCACGGCCGACCAGACCGTGCGACCCGGGAAGCAAAGGACCGCGCTCGACCCGATCTCCGCGAACAAGAAGCCCACTTATGCAGTTTTGACAATTCTCAGCCCAATTAACCTAAACCGACTTGTGAAGACCTAGGGCACTATAAATACTCTTTTTTAGCCTCTTTAGAAGAGAGAGCCGCATTAGTTTTAGAGAGTTTACATTGATTTCGTTTTAGAGCTTCATGGGAGAGGATCTCACCTTTGTAACACTATAGAGGAGATTTCTAAACCCTTTTACTTTCTATCAAGTTTTACTATGAATTCTTCTTCATCTCTATGCTTGATCTCTGTTACTATGCTTGAGTAATCTTCTTGTTGGGTGTAAGAGTTTTCAAAGGGTTTTCATGGATTGATTGTTAGGTTGCTAGATTAGGGTTTTATCATTAGTGTTCTTCATCTAAGTTTGTGCTTATTGCTTATAGCTTGATTGACCGTCTAAGCTACTGTTCTTAAGTAGATTTACTTTCTGACCGCTTGTTAAATCTCTTGAATCAACTTAGATGAGCAAGGCATAGTAACCTACGGAAGTAGAATTGCAAGGCTTTGTGAACTAGACCTACGGAAGTAGTGCTATCGAATTTGGAACTGTTCTTACATGCTTAACCTCTTGATTACCTGCGGAAGTTGTGTGATTTAGGTTGTTAGACATAGTAATTGGCACTGCGGGAGTAGGTCAATTATACTTATTGATTCGAGTTCTAGAACAAAACTATTGATTTCCCTATCTATTTGCTTGATTTAATCTATGAAACCTTGAGGATTCTCTAATGCCCAATGCTTTCTTCTATTGCTTTCACCTTATTTACTTTGTTTTGCTTTGAAACCGTGACAACAACAAACCTCCATACTTGAGTCTTAGCTTGATTCGAATCTCATAAACTCATAGTGTAAACTTATCTGGTCCTTGTGTTCGATAACCCGTTACTACATCTGACCTGTGCACTTGCAGAATCAGGGATAGGAATAGGTAAAACCTGATCCCGCATCAAGTTTTTGGCGCCGTTGCCGGGGACCAATACAGTTGCCTTTGAGTTTCGGATTAGAATCTAGTCTAGGATAGCTTTAATTTTCGTTTTTATTTCTTGTTTCTGTTTTTCTTGGTTTTTTGTTTTTATTATTAGGTTACTTTTCTATATCTCTTTGTGTTTCAGGTTAGCTTGAGGAAGAGATAGGAGCTCTTGAAGAAGATATCACAATGGATCCTCAAAACCGCACCATTGGAGAGTTTGACTCACTAGACATCTTTTTCACAAACCGCCAACCTATATGCCCTTCACGACCTACTGGAGAGTTCAAGATAAGCTCTAAACTCATTGCTTTGGTGGAGCAGCATCAGTTTCGTGGCCTAGAAGAAGAGCAGCCCATTGATCATATTGAGAAGTTTGAAGAAATCTGCGCTACAAGGAGATGTAGTGGAGTTTCTGAGGATTACTTGAAGTGTACTTTATTCTCTTTCTCTTTGGTTGAGAAGGCATACAAATGGATGAGGGCTCTTCCAGCAGGATCAATCACTACTTGGGATGAATACAAGAGAGCTTTCTTGAAGAATTTCTACCCGAAATAGAGATTAAAATGGATGAGAAGAAGAATCTCAGAGTACAAGTGATATCACCATATTTTACATGATTTTACTATATATTTATCTATGTTTTCAAACGGTTTTTGCCAGATTCTTTGCCTTTAGAGGTAGTTTTCTTGTATTTGTGGGATTTGAAGTCTTTGTAGGAGAAATAATCAAAAAGGATGCAAAAAGGAGCAAAAGAGCCCTAAATCAAGATCCATGCAAGTTTCCAAGTCAAGAAGACCATTTTATCTCCAAGTGTTAGTTCTCGCCTGCGCGCAGAACGAAGCTTCGGAAGTTTGGCCGCGCGGGGAGGAGTTCCCGACGTCCAAAAGTTACGATCTTGATATGGAAAGATAGATACTTGAGTCATGCATCACGTCGAAGTGGAATGAAGCCATTTGGATCAACTATGAGGCATAGACTTATTTTCTACCGAGACATGTCCGGTAAGCGAGCAAACGAAGCCCATGGAGGATTTGGAGTGTCTACTGGCCCGAGCAGCAGCGCCAAAGGCCTTGATCGAA